TCTAGTGGCTGTCTCATTGACAGCCACTAGAGGCGCTTGCGTGCTTCTCACTGAGATTTTTACAGTGAGAGCACGCCAGCGTCCATAGGAAAGCATTATGAATGCTTTCCTATGTGACCTGCTGAATGCGAGCGCAGCTCTTGCCGCGCGTGCGCATTCAGCCGACGGGGCGGAACGGAGGAGTAGAGAAGGAGGAGAGCTCTCCGCCCAGCGCTGCAAAAAGGTAAGTTTAAACCCCTTTCCCCCTTCCAGAGCCGGGCGGGAGGGGGACCCTGAGGGTGGGGGCACCCTCAGGGCACTATAGTGCCAGGAAAACGAGTATGTTTTCCTGGCACTATAGTGGTCCTTTAAGTATGATTTGAGCTCAACACTTGTTTTTGAGTTTTTTTTGGATAGTAAACAATCAAAACATTATTAAAGTGAGTAAAAGTAATGTAAAACTATACGTGAATGCACAATCCCAAGTGTACCTCAAAAAGACACAAAAATACAAAATAAAGAATGTAGTAAAAGCAAAAATGTACATAAAGTGTAAATACAACCTGGAACAATTAGGAGATAATCCAATAGAAGAATATATGGATATTTACAAAATAATCATAAACAAACACATAGCATAATACAGGAAGAGAGACCCCCCCCCCCCAATATAGCCCTAAATCCACTACTACAGTCCCTACCCTCTACAACAGCCTTAACTCCCTACTACAGACCCTTACCCCCTACTACATCCCTATCCCCCTAATACAGACCCTTACCCCCCTACTACATCCCTATCCCCCTACTACAGCCCCTTACTTCCTTTACAACCCAATCCCCACTACAGCTCCTTACTCCCCCTACTATAGTCCTTACCCACCACTACAGCCTCTAGCTCCCCTCTACTACAGATCCTTCCTACTACGGCTTCAAACTCCTCTACTACAACCCCTAACACCTCACTAGAGCCCCTTACCCCCCTACTACAGCCCTAACCCTCCGATTACAGCCCCTTACTTCCCTACTTAGCAACTAGCCCCTCTACTACAACTCCTGATCCCCCTACTATAGCCCCTAACTGCCCACTACACCCCCTTACCTCCCTACTACAGCCACAAACCTCTGTACTACAACTCATAACCATTTTACTACAGCCCTTACCTCCCTACTACAACCCCTAACCATTTTACTACAGCCACTAACCACTCTACTACAACCCCTATACTCCCTACTACAGGGGAGCAGCCCCTAACCCTGTACTATAGCCCTTTTACCCAAGTAGCAGCCCCTATTCCCCCTCTACAGCCCTTATAATCAAACGGCAGCCCCTATTTCCCCAATCCAGCCCCTATCCCTACTACAGCCTCCAACCTCCCCTACTACAATCCCGGACACAAACTGCATCCCCTATTCCACACTGCACTCCCTACCCATATTCTCCACTAGTCTTGACCCCCCAAATGCAGCAAATACCTCTCCACTATAACCAACTTCAGCCCATATCCCCCTACTACAACCCCTATCCATTACCACTTTAACCCCTGTTTCCCCACTTGCAACCCTTAGCTCCTACTACAGCCCCTAACCTCTCTATAACATCCTATACTCCCCACTAAAGCCCATGCTTCCATACTACCTTCCTTCCCCACTATGGCCCCTCTCCCCCCAGTTGAAGCACCTGTCTACCCACTACCAGTACCACTCCCAAGATTAGGTTCTGAATTTGCCCCTGGCACTGATAAGCTACTTGGGCACAAAGATTGCACTAATCAGCTATTTGGGCACAAATATGGCACTTTGTTTGGGAGACAAAGATGGCAATGATTAGCTATTTTGGACAAAGATGGCACTAGGAATCTGCATTGGGACAGATGACACTGGGAAGTTGGACACAAAGATGGCACTGATAAGCTTTTTGTTGGCAAAGCTGGCACTGTAGGAAGTGGGTGACATGTTGCCTAGTGAAGTTTGGGGACCCGAGTTGGTTTCCATAGAAAATGGGTGTGGCTAGAAGTATTATGTATAAAAAATATTCTTGCACCCTGGCGTCAGTGACTCTAGGATCGGCCCTGGGCGTGATATTATTAGTCATATCATGGTGTCACAGTGTGAGTGTCAGTGTAAGTGTGAAAAAAAAAAGTATCAACAAAAAATTCACAAGCTTGGTAGATACAAACAACTAGTATCATATCAACATGAGGCTTGGAGCAATATCACACAGGTATAGGCTATGGTTCATCGCTGAATTGTAGCTAACAGCTGCCGTTACTCAGCAAGGTGTAGGATTGGCCCCCTGCATTAATGAAATGCTATGTAAGCAGCAGAGGACCCATGGTGGAAATACATTTTTTAAATTCTAATGCCATTTGTATATTTTTGATTACACTTCCTATATTGCCACTTGCCTTTTCTTTTACTGGACTTACTTAAAACCTGGGTGCCTCCATTATGTTCTTCTCTGTCCATGCAGTCTAACATTTTCCCCTCTGTTGCATTCTTGGATGGATTGTGAGTAAATTAGGTTAGCCACTGAAATAGAACTTTTCTTAAAGGGACACTCCAGGCAGCTAAACAAGTTAAGGTTAAATTAAAGCTAATAAACTTAAACACCTGTGGTTAGTTTCTTTTCTTTCATTTCTGTGTAGTTTTCTTGTTTGCAGTTTTTAGCAGTGTGACCCAGCCTCATTAGCCACTCCTCTCTCACATTTCAACATGTTCCTGATTCCCAGTCTCTGAAAGAAACATACCTTTTGCAGCCAATGAAAATAGAGACATGTCTTCTGTAGTGTAAGGAATGCTCACAGAACAGACTACGCCTAGAGTCCATATGTGCTCCTCTCCCTACCTCCCTGTAATGCAAGTTATACATTTTCCTTCAGTCCCTGTCAGCCTACCCAGTGTTAACCCCTTCCCTGCCAGTTAACCTCCCTACCCAGTGTTAACCCCTTCTCTGCCAACAACCTCCCTTCCCAGTGTTAACCCCTTCCCTGCCAGTAACAAACCTACCTAGTGTTAACCCCTTCTCTGCCAGTCAATGTCCTTACCTAGTGGTAATCACTTGCCTGTCAGCCAACCTCCCCACCCAGTGTAAACCCCTCCCTGCCAGTCAACCTCCTTACCCAGTGGTAACGACTTCCCTATCAGACAACTTGCCCACCCAGTGTTCACCCCTCCCCTGCCAGCCAACCTCACTACCCAGTGTAAACCCCCACCCCTGCCAGCCAACCTCCCTACCAAGTGTCCTTTCCTTTTAATATAGGTTTCTTAAGTTTACCTAGTGCTGTCAATGGCTGAGCTATGTATGCACATATGATTAGGAAATATTTTTCTTCCTTAATAATGTTTTTTTTTTTTTCTTTCTTTAAATGTCTTTCACCAGTAGTTTACAAATATATTTTGTGATATCAGTCATGAGACTGATGTAAACCACCATTTGGAATGTATATCATACCTTCAAATCATAAAAACAATAAAAAAAAAAGATATATAATTTTTTTAACATACAAAAACTAATCTATTTCTACATAAACATATGAAGATACTTAAAGAACGACTCTACACCTATAAAGCACTTCAGATGTGTGGAGTATTCCATTATAACGACAATTTATAGAAGTGTCGATTTAATATGAAATATCTGCACTTTTATAAATAAACATTCCACTGGCTGTCATTAAGACCAGCCAGGGAGGTATGTTCCTGTTCTGTTCGCTCCCCTGAGCTAATAAGTGGCAGGTGTGCTCTACTTGAGCAGGTCTGCCTCCCCCTCTCAGACCTCAGATCAGAATGCTGTACAGCAAGCATGTCAAACTCAAAGTCTGGATCGGGCCACATAAACAAGGTTTAAGTTTATGTGGGCTGCAAAAAAAATAATACCGAAATTTTTTATAGAATGCGCGAGAGAGCAATGAGGAGCAGAAACACTGAGCTACCTCGCTGGCCCTCCTCCCCGGCCAGGTAAGTTTTAGCAGAGTAGGCACCTGTAATATGGGGAAAGCCTACTCTGCTATAACACCAGCATGTACTTGTGGCTCGCCAGGCCGCAAAGATGGTCCTTGTGGGCCGCATGCGGCCTGCGGGTTTGACATGCTTGCTGTACAGTGTATGTGCATGAATGGAGAGAGAGAGCTTCAGAACCTTCTCAATGAGAAGCCTCTGATTCGCTATTCTCCATGAAGAGACAGTTACATAGTTATTTACTAAAGTGAGAATTCAAAGTGATTTTCAAATTAAAGGGACACTGCAGTATAGGCACTAAATCAACTTTAGCTTAATGTTTGGTGTATAGATCATTCCCCTGCAGTCTCACTGCTCAATGCTCTGCCATTTATGAGTTAAAGGGAAACTATAGCAGACATCACAAGTCTCCCGGTAGTTCCAGTAGACTCCCGCACTTGTAGTGTGGCTCCCTAACACCCTCAAGTCTTATATACTATCCCGATAATCCCACACACAATCTGATATACAATATATATCAGATTGTGTGTGTGTGTGTGTGTGATTTCCAGGCAATTATATATCCTAAATAAATGTCCCCTTAATATTTTCTACCAAGTGAATAGTATAATAAACAGGGGTCCAGTCTTTAAAAGCCTGACCGGGCCCATGCAGTATCTGCTGGCTGGGAGGCAGTGACAGACAGTACTAAGTAGCCTAGGACACTGCACCAGACCACTTCAGTGAGCTGGAGTGGTCTGGGTGCATATTGTCTTTTTAAATTACTTTTGTTTTGGGGTAATTTCAGCTGCCAGTTTTTTTAAAAATAACATATAGGTCACATTTAGAGGTGTTGGATAAAAGAGTCCTTCTAAAAGCTATACTTCATGGAAAGTCTGCCTAATTACTACCCTGAGAGCAGAGATGAGGCAAGGGAGAATTAGTTATACACCTCTGTACAATACATGGCCAGAATGTGACTACAAGTTCACTTGCCACATAAATATGTGGCATTCATAAACGGGTTAAGTACTGCTCTCTGGAATTATTTTGTTCCATGCACACTAATCTAAGTTCTGTTCTATGTTCATTATAATGGAATATTGTTTTTGCAAGTATGCATCTAGTTGCTGTTTAAACATACTGTACAGATTTTGATAAAAATAGTTCTTCAGGCAGAGAATTCCACATCCTTATTGTTCCTATGGTTAAAAAACAAAACAAAAACAAAATATCTTTCCTTTGCCTTAGACTAAATCTTCTTTCTTCCAGTCCAAACGCATGACCTCATGTCCTATGTATATTCCTGTTTGTGAATAGATTTCCACACAATGGTTTATATTTGTCACGGATATATTTGTATAATGTTATCATATCCCCTCTGAGGTGCCATTTTCCTAAACTAAAGAGGTTTAAATTTGTTAACCTTTCTTCATAGCTGATATGCTCCATTCCTTTTTTTTTTATTTTGTATCCCCCCCTCTGCACTTTGTCCAGTGCCATAATATCCTTCTTTAGAACAGGTGCCAAAAATTGCACAGCATATTCATGATGCGGTCTTACCAGTGATTTATAAAGAGGCAAAATGATATTCTCATCCCGAGAATTATTGCCCTTTTTCATTATTATTATTTTATTATTTATATAGCGCCAACAAATTCCGTCATGACAATACCTTACTGGCCTTAACCACTGCTGATTGCCATTGCACATTGTTGCGTAGTTTTGTGGTCTATAACAATTCCCAAATCCTTCTCATGTTATCGTGTTATCCCTATTTAGGGTATAAGTTGCTTATGAATGCTTTATGCCGAAATGCATAACTTTTGCATTTTTCTACGTTATAGTTCATCTGCCATTTGAGTTCCCATTCCCCCAATTTATCTAAATCCCTATGCAGCAAAGTAATATCTTGCTAACATTGTATTACTTTACAGAGTTTTGTGTCATCTGCAAACACTGAAACCTTACTTTCAATGATTATTTTTTAAAGGTCATTTATAATCATGCTAAATGAAAGGGGTCCCAGAAAAGAACCATGAAGGACACCACTACTCTATTTTTAAGCCAATGGTCTACCCAAGAACAAGAATTTTCATCTATACCAATTTCTTTGAGTTTGTACATTAATCTATTGTGTGCACCTGTATAAAAAGCAACTTCCAAATAGATCACATCCACTGCAACACCCTGATCTATATTTCTACTTACTTCTTCATAGAACACAATCAAGTTAGTTTGACATGACCTGTGCTTCATAAAACCATGCACATAGTCATGTTCTTCTCAAGGAATTCTTGATTATCCCTTAATTACGTTTCAAATATTTTCCCAGCCACAGAAGTTAAGCTTACAGGTCTATAATTTCCAAGCAAGGATTTTGAACCCTTTTTGAATATAGGAACCACATCTGCCTTTCTCCAATCCTCCATACACTGCCTGAAAGTAAAGAATCGTGAAAGATTAAAAACTGAGGTTCACTTATTTCTACACTTCGTTCCTTAAGTACTCGTGGATGAATACTGTCAGGCCCTGGAGTTTTGTTTATATTAACTTTCTTTAGTTGCTGCAGCACCTTGTCCTGAGTCATCCAATTACAATTTTTTCTGCAAGTTTTTTGCAGCAATCATTTACATATCCATTGCCATAGGATCTTCCTTAATATGCACCGAGGAGAAAGAGTTATTTAAAATTTCTTCATTAACTAACTCTCCATCCCAGTAATTAGTGTAGCTTCATATTTTTTTTTTATTATTATTTTTTTTTAGAATTGATGTACTTAAAAATGCTTTGGGGTTTGTTTTGCTCTTTTTGGCTATCACTTTCTCATTTTGTAGTTTAGCGAATCTAATCGCTTTTTTTTTGCAAGTATTATTGCCTTCCTTATATCTTTTATAGGATGCCTTTGATTTGTCCGATTTAGGGACTTTAAATGACATTTTCTTATTTTAAATTTCTTTATTCACTTTCCCACTAAGCCACATTGGTTTCAATCTGTTTCTTTTATATTTATTTATGAGCTGTAAGCCATAATCATCGCACTTATGACAAATCACGACTTGAACTATCTTGCTTGGCATGTAATGCATCTCTCATATATAGTTTCCCATGTTACGTTGCATTACTGAAATAAATTACCTTTTGTATGATATCCTAATTTTTCGAGTATCACCTGTATCCTCCATGTTCTTTTCACTAAAGAGTTTATGCCAGTCAATATATTGTAAAGCTGCCCTTAACTTGTTGAAATTGGCATTTTTAAAATGATATGTTTTAGTATTTCCCATGTGCTTTTGTTTATTTCAAAGGACACCATATTGCGATCACTATTTCCCAAGTGCTCACCTACTTGAATGTTGGTCAAAAGATCAACATTGTTTGTTAGAAGCAGGTCCAGCCAAGCGTACTTTCTAGTTGGTGCTTGTACCAATTGTTAAATGACACTTTCATGTCACAAGTTGAAAATCCTAATCCCCTTTGCTGAACTACTAGTCCTTCTGTCCAATATTATGTCCTAGTAATTAAATCTCCAATAAGTAATGAAGTTCCTCATCAATATTAACATTAGGTGGTTTATAACACATCCCAACCAATAATTGATTTCCCTTCTTTTGGCCCAAGCAGATATTTACCCATAAAGCTTCCACATCTTCCTCATCACGTTCCACTTGCTTGGGATTTGGCTTTAACTCATGGCTGACATACAAACATACCCTACCACCCTTCTTGTTTTTCCTATACTTCCTAAATAACATGTACCCATTGAAGTAACTGTCCAGTCATGTGTCTCATCCCACCATGTTTCAGTTATGCCTATTATGTCATATTGTTTAGTGTATGCTATTGCCTCTAGTTCCCCCATTTTGTTATTTAGGCTCCTTGCATTAGTAAGCATGCACTTATTATGAGTCACTTGTACTTTTTGTGAATTTTTATTGATATTACATACCTCCTCTGTTCTGAGCTTGTCCCTCCCCCCATCTCCACCATCCTTGTACTGAGCTAAAGCCCATCTTTTTTCTGTTCTATATCCATTTTGTAGATTGCTATGACCCTCCCCCCTACCACTAGCTTAAAATCTCCTCCAAACTTCTAATCATCCGGTCCCCTGGCACTGCAGACCCTCACCCATTTTGGTGTAATCCATCATGGCTATAAAGTTTGTAGCCAAGCGCAAAATCGACCCAGTGCTCTAAAAACCAAAAACCCTCCTTGCTGCACCAAGACTTCAGTCACGGATTGACCGCTCTAATCTCCCACTACCTTTAAACTGTATTAGGGTGTGCATCCATGATAATTTTGTTAAAGCAATATTGGCAATGTAGAATTACCATGGGTACTCACAGGCAACATTTGCTCACACGTTCATACATGTATGTACAAGCACTCCCCTTTCTGTGTGCCTCTTACTCTCCCCTTCCCCAGCCTCTCTATGAGTCTCTCCTCCACCCCCCCAACCTCTCTGTCAGCCTCTCCCCCATGCTCTTCCTTCTCTTGCACTCAAGCCATAAGGAGTGGGCAAATGGCCTGTCACAGGGTACCCAGGAGGAGGCCAGCTGGCCACCTTAGGACGCCCGAAAGCAGGCACTTATTAAGAAAGGTAGAGTGGGCAACTGCTTACCTGGACGGCACATACCCACTCTACTACTATATACCAGGGAGAGAGGAGGCAGAAGGCGGTGAGGGAGCGCTAATATTCTTTCGGTTCCTCACTGAATTCTAGCGCCCTGCAGTGATCTTCTGAAGTGTTATGCACCCTTGAAGTGAGTATATCTGGATAACGTCCAGGTCAGGGTGTGTTAGCACCCCATTGACTTAAACAGCGGGGTCACAGAGGGTGAGAGGATAGCAGAGAAATAATGGGAGCACAGCAATGGAGAAAGGGGGGGGGGGGAATGAATCAAAATAAAATATTAAAACTTCCAGTAGGTTACGGTTAGGCAAGTTCGTGTGGTCTCATATAGGTCTTCTGGCTTGTTGATGGAGATACCTCCAGCAGGAGGACTGTATCAGGTCAATCAGGTAACCGGTGTTGTAGACGTGCATCCCGAGGTTAACCGAGGTGTAAAGGCTGGGATCTTGGATGGGTCCATATTCTGAAGACGAGAAGTGGAGGTGTCCTGTTCAGATAGTATCTTCAAGCTGCGCCTGCTGGCCTCTAGTTCTTGTGGGCTCTTTGCTCTGTTGGTGCTTCCTAGGTGGGTCATTATGAGTAGTCTGGGGGTTTCCCAGCGGTATGCTTTTGTGCAACCCAGCATTGCATTCCATATCTTTACAAGGTAACAACAGACTTTCTTTTGGTGTTCCCTTCATTACATCGTTTATTTTGAAGGATCCTTAACACAATCCTCATTATTTGCTCCTTTTAAAATTGAGCAACTTCGGATTTGGAAGAATATTTAGTGGATTAATGGTTTATTTTAGGCATCTCTGACTATTGCCTCTAAATGCCATTATTCTATAGCTGGTTTATCCAATGAACCCTGTGAGTTTGAGATCCTGTTTTACTAGAAGCCTGAACGCCAGGTGCTAGATTAATTTCAGATCACCATGGTATATAGGTCTAAGAAGCAGGAATTTAATCCTGTAAATGCACATATCTATATGAATTTAATGTTTTTGGTCTTGTTCCTTTGATCGAGGAGAACCCTGTAGACCAGGGGTAGGCAACTTTCAGCACTCCAAATGTTGTGGACTACATCTTACCTGTTACTTTGCCAGCATTATGGCTGTAAAGGCATTATGGGGGATATTGTTTACATCTGGTATGCCAAAGGTTTCCTGCCCCTGCTGTAAACCAATAAATGTGTACTGCTCTGGTATTTCACTGTGGTATTTCACTCTTAGTCGCTAAGGTCAATAATACATCCTTTAGTGTGAACCAATGAGAAGCCTTTAGTTAGAAATATATTTACCAAAATCTTTATGTATCTGGGATGTGGTATCCGTTTTGACACTTTAGAGATAGAGCAGTCGATTTTCTAAAACTAAAATTCTTATTAAGTCACTTATCTGTTAAACTATTTTCTCTATGCTTTTCAGTTTGTCTAGGAAGCAGCAGACACTAGGTAGTATATGCAGTTCCTTCAATTTCATGGTCTGTATATCTGATTCAAGTTTTAAAGCTCACATATCATTACGGCTTGCAAGCAAAAAAGAAGCAGCATGTTCCACAGCTATGGAGTATATACACCGCTGATCTGATTGGTTAAACAACATTCTGTTTATCAGGTTTGTGTGCACCATGTCTTTTCAAGTTTGGTTACATGTATTTTTTTTAGCGCTATGGTAATATGTAAATAAAGATTGAGAATAAGACACACTGGCTATCTTTAATATAATGTATCCTCTCTATCACTATGTTGAATTGTGATCAGAGCATGATACAAGTGAGCTGAAAGAATGGGGGGAGGAGGACTCAATCATACACCTTGTGGATCAGCCAATAATCTGCTGCTGCTTTGGCTGAAGGATTACAGTCAGAAGGGGTTACAGAAATTAATCCACAGGGATAAAGCTGCGAGGTTTAAAATCTAATTGCAAACACTATTTGTGATGGACTAACTGTATATCATATGCAGTATTTCAGATGAAGAAATGTTGGTCTAACACATTTTTCTTTTTTAAATTGACTGCCAGAATAAGCAGGCTCCTGGTAGAACTACTATCAACAAGTTGTGACCATGACGATAACAGTGTCCTCTCCGGGCCACAGTTTACAACTAATCACAAAGGTGCATGTGGGGACAGCATTTTTGTGGTTTTATTTACTTATTTTTAAACATACAGACGAAAAGTAATCTCTCTCCCTCTCCGTAGAAGAAGATTATCTTTCTGAACCAATGCTATAATGTTCTATAATATAATTTTATATGTTTCTCTATTACTGGGCAAGAAAAACAAAATCACATAAGTTCAAATAATATCCAAAGAAAACCGCATGAGAAGAATAAAACTATATTAGTATATGTGATATTGAATGTGTCATGTGATTATTGCAAGATACATAATTGCTCTAAAGCAATGGATAATGACTAGTGATGTCGCGAACGGCTCGCCGCATTTCGCGGCGAGCTCCGGTCAGCTGACACATCCCGGCCAATCTCCAGCAGACCCTCCCTCCCAGACCCTCCCACCTCCTGGACAGCATCCATGTTGAAGGCAGCTTCAACATGGATGCTGTCCAGGAGGTTGGAGGGTCTGGGAGGGAGGGTCTGCGTCAGCTGACCGGAGCTCGCCACGAACGGTTCGTGGCGAGCCGTTCGCGGGAAGTTCGCGACATCTCTAATAATGACGTTTCTGGCACCAACGCAAACAAAAAAATGTTATATTAAAACCGTGCAAAAGTTAGGTGCTCACTAGGTACAATAAAAAGCCAGCAAGTCTTCCCCAACATGAAAACATACAAATCAAACAAATAGTAGACTGC